TACTTTTTCTTTATAGTCATTTTCTCTTTAATATGTTTACTTTTCAATTTCTTTACTTTGTTGTTGTTACTTAGATAAGCTCACATCTAATTTAACTTTCAATTGGTAACGAAAATTAATGAATTGTTATATTCTTATTCTCTATTGAATTTGATTAGCTCTAAAAGTTCAATTAGATGATTTTATGTATTTATAAAAATTGTTGAATTCTGATGGATTTTTAAATATGCAAGATTTTTCTTATTAAATTGTTTTCTAAGAGCTAAAAATTTCACCGTCATATGTTAGTTCTTCCCTTTCGTTCTTTTCTTCAACAATTTTTGTCTTATATGCCTAATTTGCTAAAGAAAATAGAAATATTCCATGAAAATACATAAGAATTTTCTTGAGCTCTTCATTAGTGACTTCAAATTTTGGTTTCTTTTAACTTTCAGTTTCGTCTATGTTTTTGTTTAATTAGATATAATTTTCAAATTTCAAACTTTCAAATTTAGTTTCTTCATTAGTTTTAATGCCTAACTTAATTGATTGTAACAAAATTTATTTTCGATATGGGTTTTTTATTCTGAAAATCTGGCACAATGCTCATATTTTTTATATTGTATAGTTATCATGTGGAGATTGTTTACTTTCTTTTATAAGATTCGTCTCAAATTCTTATTTGATTTTCGATTCCTAATTTATTTATAGTCGTTCTTTAAGGTCTTTACTTGGAGAATAATTTTAAACTTTCACTACAAATATGATTCACTTACAACTATTTGTTGTTAGCTTTTACTTAATGGCTTTTCGTAGTTCTCCTTTGCAGAGAGAGTTTATGTTCTAGAAATTTTGAGAATATTTTGGGTTGCTTATGTGCAATTATAAACTCTTGTCTTGGGTCAATATCATTTGAGTTTAAGAGTATTTGAGTTAAAATTTTTTAGACCTTTTTTAGATAATAGTTTGGAAATGATTCGTTCTATTTTTAGTTTTTATTTAATGATTTTCTTTTTCATGTGACCTTTGTAAAGTTGAACCATACTAGTTTTTTATACTTACTAATTATCTAATTTCTCCATACCAATTGAAACCTCAGTTTCAAACTATTGTTAACACTTCTTTTCATGTATCAAATATTTATACCACTAAATTAAACTCTTCTTTTATTTTCAACAAATGGGATGGTTCTTTGTTGGTTTCTTCTAATTTCACATAGTTTGTATCGATATTTAATCACATACTATTTGAATTTTGATAATAAAATCATTCCTCAAATTTTTTTTTTGCATATCAAGGAATTAATAAGACTATTTTTTTTTTCTCTAAAACATCATAGATCTCATTCTAGTATATGTAATTAAATTTCTAAAAAATTTGCTTCATACTTTCATTCTATTGGCATATAATAACTTATTTTTTTAAATACGTTTTTAACTATGAACATGTAACTATTATTATTTATATAAGCTCCAATTGACCCTTCTTTTATCTCTCTTTTTCTTGCATTTACTATTTTTTTTATAATCTGTTTGGATACTTTAGTTACTAGTTTAGTAGGCTTCACGAAACTGTTGTGTGTATGTTCTAATAATCAATGGTTGAACCAATGTAACAATATTATTGGTACAGACTGAACAATGGTTTTTAATGGAAGAAATCTAAATAGCTCCATTGATATTGTAATGTAGTCTTCACTTTCAATGAAGAAAAACAAGCATACCAATGATCGAAGACAAAAGGCATATACAAAATCACCATCATTAATTAGTGCTGAAAATGAAGATCTGGGAAAACAAGCAAAGACAGTTCTAAAAGTAAACCAACAAAAAATTTATGTTACTTCTCCTCAATCATTGTATGTGGAACATGTCGATCTTGATCAGCAAAATATTGGTAAAGAAAGATGGTTTGATGAGAGTGAATCAATGTGGTTATCTTCAGATACTACGTCCATATCATTATTTTTTGAAGAGCATAGATTATCAAGTCCATTTCATCTTTTAGTTGGTCAACAGACAATCTCATGGTTAGCAAACTTGGCAGATAGTTATCTTTCATTGGGTGAAGGGGTTGTTTTTCTTGATGGACAAGAAACAAATTCCATGGCGGCCCTAAAGAAGACACCACAAGAAAAACAAGATGAAAAAACAACTATTAATTATCAAAATGATTCTATAGACTCCCCCATTGATATTTTTCAAAGTAGAAAGTCTTCAACTAATCCTGATTATTATTCTCCAATATCAAAAATGGAGAAAAATAGTTTGTTGCATTCTTTTGAAGATTCCAAGTGGGTTTCAAATTATGAGAATACTCTGCTATCTAATTTGACAATAATAGGAGTTGAGGATGAGAAATCACAAAATGATTCATCTTTCCAACAGGATCAAGAGGTTGTTGAGCCACTTTTTTGGCCATTTGAATGGGAATTTGATTGGACTTCTCAAGATATCAACAAATATTTTGCTATGTCTCCTCAAAGATACATGATAGATATGAAAATTGCTTACAGAGATGGGCGTGGGAAAAGGCTTACCTTCAACACAGAAAAAATGGAATCAGATGTTGTCAAGAGGGTCAACAGTATACCTTCAATAGTGAGAAATTCAAACAAATTGGATATAAAGATGGAAGTGGCAGATGACGCAAAAGCTTATTCCCCAAATTCAATCCATAGAAATAAAGAATTTTCATCAAACCAAGAGCTTCCAATTGAGAATATATTGGGACTTAATGAGTTTGATGGACATGAAGGAATTGATTTTGAATTTTCTGAAGATATTTTCTCCATGAATGATTTTTTTTGAAGAACTAGAGTTCTTTAGTGGAGTTTATTATCAACATAATTTACTTTTATCGTTTCAAGAAATGTAAGTATTTTTCAGTTTTTTGGTGGACTTTCCTATTAGTTATATATAAAAAATGGCATTAGAGCATTATGTAAGTAAATTTCTCAAAATTTTAGTGAGGTTCACTTTAATTTAAAAAGAAGTTTGGAGCGGAAAAAGGAAAAATTATTGTATGTGAATACATATTATACATTTAGATGTTTAAAAGTGAAATAAAGTAATATTTTTTCTAAAAAATGAAAGAAGCAATAATAATGTAATCTATTGATTAGGATATTTATCTTTTACCTCAACATCACAAATTTAAATCTCCTTATAACATTGTGTAAAAACTTATAAAATTCCATACACGCCCAAGGACAAATATGTCTTTTTAAGTTATATGACCACTTTGGTCTTTTCATAATTAAGAAGCCCTAATTTCGGTCTTTTTACTTCTGCGCGTGTCGAGTCAAGCTCGACTTTCAACTTCGGGGACTGTTATCATTTTCCAAGGGCTAACCTTGTTCTGTCGTGGCCATCGCCTTTGCCGGCAAGTCTTCCCTTTTCTCTCTAATCTCGTTTCTCGTCTCTTACTTTCAATGTTGTCATCAATCCTGGTATTTATTGTAGATCAATGATTTGTGGTTTGTTTGATTTTACGGACTGAATGGCTTAGTTAGGGTTTTGTTAAGTTGGTGATGACAGATTTAAGATTTGATCTGCCAAATGATGTTTGGGATATTGCGCAAGGGCTTTGAGTTCCTAGTACTTCGATAGGAACTTTGAGAAGTTGTCAATTAGACACCCTCTTCTGATGGCAGGCGGTGTTATTTTCAATTCGCTTTTTTATTTTTGAGCTTTATTAAATGGCGTTCTAGAGGATTCCGAGTATGTCATTTGTTGTCTGGAGCTAGATTTTCATCACATTGATTTTCCAAAAAGATAACAAGAAGCAGATTCGTTTGAAATGGTTGAACAGAGAAATATAGTATTTGTTTCCGTTTCATATTTTTTCTGTTTCAGCTTTGTAGAAAGTACTTTTGATTTGATTTTGTAGGAGGTGGCATCATTAATTCCAAGCATTAAATGATAAGGCATGGATTATATCATGATCTATGCGACTAGATTCAATCTGGTGTTAAGCTCTAACAGAGTTCAGTTCAACTTGGTGTGCGAACACTACCTCAAAAAGCTCCTTGTAAAGTTATTTATCTCACCCTCAAACATGTAAACCCAGTTACAGAAAGGTCAAACATGCAATTTACGGTCTGCAATCTTTAAACAGTGCAAACTGTTCTAGTGAAAACAGGGGTGTGCTTCTTTGAGTGTATGCGTTTGTATGTTTGTCCAAGTTAATCATCAACAATGTAAACTTTTTGTCGAAAAGAGATGTGGGTTTTTGGGTTCTCCAGCTGAGAAATTTAATGTGCAAAATTATCTTATCCAATGCACATTCTATGTTGTACCAGCACAATTTGATGCTTAATTGTTCTTGATGCATGGGCTTTGTAAGAATTGTGTTAACTTATCACCAGTTTGTGTCAAAAGCTTTAAACATCAAGGAATGGAGCAAAAACCCTTGAATATTAGCTCTTTCGGAATTGAAAAGTTCATTTTCTCACCGATTGTTATTCAATTTTTGGTGGTTTATCTACATTTTAAATGTTTTTTGTTGTTTTAAATGCAATCAGGACAAGGGAGCTTATTCAAGTTTAATGTCCAATGAAGCATGTAATTAAGATCTTGACTCTGTTAGTGGCTATCTCTGCCTTTTGGATTGGCCTCATACAGGCATTGATAGTTCCATGTGACCAAACTTCGTTGGTGAGTCTTTTTTCCCCATACTTTTTGTATGAAGTTATTTCTGATTGTTTTGCCTATGTTTTCTCCTATTTTTCTTTTAGTAAGTCTTAATTTTTGGTGTTTTGCAGCTACCTATCTATTTTGTTGTATCACTGGGATGCTATGGTTTATTTATGGTTGGACTTGGTCTAATGCGATTTCCAACTTGTCCTGAAGAAGCACTGCTCTTGCAGCAGGTACTCAACTATTTCATTTTTTTATCCGCTGCATCTTGTTTATTGATAGTTGTTTCATTCATGAAAAAGTGCGTTTGTTGCTGAATAATCATGGTTACTTGATCTTACGTTCTCATAGTAAAATTCTGTCAGAAGTGAAGTTCTTTGCTCACTCTCTCTTTTTTTTATAGTAATAATCTTTAAAAGTCCTTATTAACTTGAGTCCTATCTCTCTTAGACAAGAGATCTGGTCATGCCTCATGGGATACATCCCCGTTAAGAGTCTTTGCTGTTTCAGAATAAAAAAAAATATTCTCACTGGGAATCAGTTAATAGAGCATCTCAATTATCAAATATGAATACCAATAGAAATAGTAATCTTGTATTTATACACTAATATATGTAGGGTTGCAAATATAATGATTTAGAACTAAACCGCGGGAATCAACTTGTTAGGAATTGCCAACAACACTTTGTGTGGTAATTTATTTATTCTTTTGTTTTTTTTTTCCTTTCATGGTGGTGGTCAATCCTGGAAAGGCACGCTTCTGCTAGTGAATGGAAAACCTCATTGATTGCAACTATGAGGATTTGGAATATCAAAATCCAAATCTCTGTTCTGTCGTGGGAAAATGTCTTTTACAGAGATTAACATTTGTGCATTTCTGATCTTGGAACATTACATTAATACTCGTCTATATTTGTTGCTCCATCTACACAAAAGATAAGTAACGATTGTGTATTTTGCTGTTCTTGGAACTCAAATATTCATTGGTCCCTCTATTCTGCATTTCTCTTTGTTAAAAGACTCATTTTGTTGTCAATCCATACATTGATACTCATTATTTTGCAGGATATTCTTGAGGCCAAGGGATTTCTGAAGCAGAGAGGTGTCTGATGTTGGTTCTGACTATTGAGCTTTTCGCAATTTTATGGAAAGGAACCCTAAACAGGGTGTTACCTGGTCTCAAAATTTCTTGTTTGTTTCCTAAGAAAATTTGTTTAAACCAAAAGATTAAAAGATTGGCAGCGCCAGTGGCAAGTACAGCTGTAACTAGATTGTCTGTCTTGTTAGTAGATGGCCAGAACTCATGAATGAGAAAAATGTAGATATACAATATTGTTTTTGCCCTGGGATGATGAACATAGGTTGCATCCCATGATTGTCATGAGATTTTTTTCCCTAATAATATGAAAATAATAAAATAATACTTGTATATTCTTGATTGCGTGATCCAACACTTATATTTTTAAGCTTTATTATAAGTTACTGTGTTTTTTTAAGTAAATTATGTTATTATTGATTATTATGTTCTTTTAAATAAATTGTGTTATTATTGATTACTATTAATAGTATGAAAATATTATCTCGATTTAATAAAATATAAATTTTACATGTTAGATCTTCTCATTTCTGTCATTTGACTTATATTTTTGGTGTAGCATATGAAATTACATCAACATTTTTATATATATTGAGTAATGTAGAAAACTATCTCTATTTTTTTTGTGAGAGAATCTTTAAAATTACCATGTTGGGATTCATGAAAGCTTATGCAAGAATCAAATTCTGAGTATAGAATCCCAAAATTTAAGTTGGTGATCATGGGAAAGCATCCAAGCATGTTCTGAAGTAATTAATTAAATAAATAATTTCCTCCTGTATAGAATACATATATATATATATATATATATGTACATAGCTCGTGGTGAATATTACAGAAAAGATGATTGGAATCACAGTGGTTACATTGAATGGAGAATTGATAATGCTGCATGAGGTGGAGAATGTGAGGATAAATGAATTGAGGGAAAAGATTGAAGGAAGAATAAATGTACAAAACGTTCCTCTTGAAAATCAGATCTTCACTTTCATCGACAGAGTTGTTGATGAACATCTCACCCTTCATCAACTTGTTGATTATTATATTGCCAACTATCGACCCACAACTCCTCTTCCTTTTCTCAGGCTCCGCAACAAGTGAGTATATACATATACATATACATATACATTTATATATATATATATGTGTGTGTGTGTGTGTGTTATGTAATTTGGATTAATCGTGTATGCCATCATATATTTATAATAAAATTTATTTGTTTATTTTCTTGAACTCTTCTTTTCTGACATCGTATTTCACGCGGCAGTAAAATTAGTAGCATTAAGTAAAATTCTTAAAACAATTAAAAACAATTAAGTACAAAATTAAACAGAATAAAATATTAAATTATTAATTATACATTTGTATAAAATTTTTATCCTACAATATGCTCTGACCCATATAATTACATAAACATTAATATCCTTTAATTCATGCTCAACTTGATTTGTTGATTCAATTCATTGACTCCCAAATCCTTCCTACTTAATTTGTTCGTCCATAATTTTTTTTCAACTTGATTCCCTAATTCAATTGCTTGATTCACCGGTCATTCCACCTGATTCGTGAATATAAAAAACGCCGA